CTGAAGGATGAATATTTCAGGTGATATAGAGGAAAGCTAGGAGGGGGATGGGAAGGAAGGGGTATGGAGGGAGAGACAGCTAAAGGATGAATATTTCAGGTGATATAGAGGAAAGCTAAGAGGGGGAGAGGAAGGAAGGGGTATGGAGGGAGAGACAGCTGAAGGATGAATATTTCAGGTGATATAGAGGAAAGCTAGGATGGGGAAAGGAAGGAAGGGGTATGGAGGGAGAGATAACTGAAGGATGAATATTTCAGGTGATATAGAGGAAAGGAGGGGGTAGGTAGTAGGTAGCCAATGTGTTTGAAAGAATATAGCTTATCACTGTGAGTAAAATTTAAAAAAATGTGAACAAGTACAGGAAAGTACAGATTAAAGTACTGATGAGGACATATATAGAGGGCAGGACAATGCAGTGTATCCTTCATTTTCAAGGCATCAAATTTAGGAATACAACATTAGTAAATTAACAATTGAAAGATGAGTGTACAATGTAACATATGGGTCAATGTTTATGTTTAAAAAGAGATCAATTACATGTAAATAAACATCAATATTTCTCACAAATAGCACTTAATTAACATATCTATGATACTTTAAATAAAAATCAATTCCACTCAAAGATACAGATTTTCATCATGATGCAACAAATTTATCAGGTAACAGATGGCTGCGACAGCAATTGACACCAGAGAAATAGATATGTGTTTATTTATCATCCTGGCCTAGCCCTCTTATCTCCTTACCGTAACTTGACATACTGAGCATTATGGTTGCTAAACTTTCCACTCTCAACATTTGCATGGACAGTTCTAGTCATAACAGTTATCCATTTTACATTTATATTTCCCTCAAGCATGATATAAAAGAAATAAAAGAATATGTTGATATAAATGTAAATGGAATTATGGAACTCAAAACTAGCAGAAGCATTAATATTTCCATAAATATCAGCAGGTGCATTTCATTCACTACTTTTTGTATTATACAAAACAATGCCAGCATTGTAACGGTGTCCTTCTAGCATATTAAATCTCTATGCACAAAATATTAAAAATATATGGTAAATAACCCTATAAGTGTCACCTTTCTGCAAATGTGTGCATAGAAATTTCCATCAGAAGTAAAAATGTAACCTTACCTTGTAAGTAGCCAGAGCTACCTGTAAAATTCAGGTAAGAAGAGTTGATGTTGTACCTGTTGATTACTATTGTCACCTGTGACAGATACACCTACATCATGCTCTGTTTAATAAACACATCTACCTGTCTGTCTACAAAATACATTAAATATTCTGTTATATGGGGGAGATATACTAAGGTTAAACCACTAGGTACAAATAACGGTGAGAATTTGAATTTTTTTGAAGAAATTTTGACCTACTTTTGCTGACTGGCATACAACGGATTCAGATTTCAGATATATTTTGCAAGGAGATAAAGAGCATTCTAAATTATGTTAAAATATCATCAAACTTTTATGATGTCAAGGGAAAAGTTTACCAGCACATTTCACATTGCATGGCTGCGTCATAACACAAAAATGTGATTTCATTTAATGCACAAAAATAAAATATTTTTGAGCAGATATATCAAACATTTGCCAAACTTTAATCTACTCATCAAGTTACTAACAGGATGTGAAAAATTCAACAAGTAAAACAAGAATTTGAACCAAGAACCTTTGAATTCTAGACAGACGCTCTACCTCAATTGGCTATCTGATCGCCAGGGAATCTAAACAGACAATCAAACTTATTAATGGGGATCAAACTAAGGCAGATCTACAAGCAATGAAAAATGTGTAAGAATTCAAAATAAGAAGATCTAAACTCCAGACCAACATTCACCTACAGCTATCTGATTACCAGGGTTCTACCTCAGTCAGATCTACAAGCAGTGTATCACAGGATTCAAACTAAGAACCTCTAAACTCCAGACCAACATTCAACTAGCAATCTGATCACCAGGGATCTACCTCAGCCAAATATGGTATATATACAATCAGTGTAACACAGGATTCAAACTAAGAACCTCTATTAGCTCCAGACCAACATTCAACTAGCAACCTGATCATCAGGAATCTAGCTTAGTCATATATACAATCAGTGTAACACAGGATTCAAACTAAGAACCTCTTGTAGCTCCAGACCAACATTCAACTAGCAACCCGATCACCAGGAATCTAGCTTAGTCATTTACTAGTATGCAATCAGTGTATCACAGGATTCAAACTAAGAACCTCTTGTAGCTCCAGACCAACATTTAACTAGCAACCTGATCATCAGGAATCTAGCTTAGTCATATATACAATCAGTGTATCACAGGATTCTAACTAAGAACCTCTTAACTCCAGACCAACATTTAACTAGCAATCTGATCATCAGGAATCTAGCTTAATCAGTGTAACACAGGATTCAAACAAACACTCTCTTAACTCCAGACCAACATTTAACTAGCAACCTGATCACCAGGAATCTAGCTTTAAGTCATATATACAATCTGTGTAACACAGGATTCAAACTAAGAACCTCTAAACTACAAACCAACATTTAACTAGCAATCAGTGTAACACAGGATTCAAACCAAGAACCTCTAAACTACAAACCAACATATAACTAGCAATCAGTGTAACACAGGATTCAAACTAAGAACCTCTAAACTATAAACCAACATTTAACTAGCAATCAGTGTAACACAGGATTCAAACCAAGAACCTCCTAACTCCAGCCAAACATTCTTAACCCCTTAGCTATTTCATCATTGGGATCTCGGTCACATCTGCTTACAGTTGCTGCCATTAATAGTAACTGGAATTTTTCAATAATTTAGAAGTCACTCCCATATTTATTAGGTCATAATGTAGGCCTAACATCAAAACCACATTATGTAAAACTTCCCTGCCCAACACGTACCTATGATGGATAAACATGAAATGTATACCCTTAGGTAAGCCCATCCGAACTATCTATCAGATCTAGGTAGCATATCTGGGGTCCAGGTGTGAAGTCTGATCCCACACCTACACATTTTCCTGATACAGGTTTCTAAGTTCTCACATTTTACAGTCACACTACACATTTGTAGACCGATGTCTCAAATTACAGCCATTCAGTTGTCCTTGATAGTGTGATAACAATCAATATGATGATGTTGGGTATCGGGTTTCCAGCCTTGCCTTTGAACCAGAGGACCAGACCAAACCAAACATTGTCAACAAGTGTATCATAACATCAGATCATATTCAAAACACCAGGAAACATATCTGACCAGCTTTTTATCAGTTCATTATTGCCTTCTAAAATTTGCTTAAGTACAATTACTGAGCAAAACATGTTTAGTTTCAAAACTAAATCAGGAGTTAAACCCAGTATTGAATTGGCTTTCAATTGATAACAGTAAACCTAGAGAGCATGTATCTGAACATTTAAGGACTATTGGATTTGTCTGCACCTTTGAAAAGTTAAAAACTATTCGAGAACAAAAATTTGACTAATGTATTAACTGTATAAGTTCTCCTCCCTGTGGTTGTCCCTGCTCTCCTCCCTGTGGTTGTCCCTGTTCTCATCCCTGTGGTTGTCCCTGTTCTCATCCCTGTGGTTGTCCCTGATCTCATCCCGGTGGTTGTCCCTGTTCTCATCCCTGTGGTTGTCCCTGTTCTCATCCCTGTGGTTGTCCCTGCTCTCCTCCCTGTGGTTGTCCCTGTTCTCATCCCTGTGGTTGTCCCTGTTCTCATCCCTGTGGTTGTCCCTGTTCTCATCCCTGTGGTTGTCCCTGTTCTCATCCCTGTGGTTGTCCCTGTTCTCATCCCTGTGGTTGTCCCTGTTCTCATCCCTGTGGTTGTCCCTGTTCTCATCCCTGTGGTTGTCCCTGTTCTCATCCCTGTGGTTGTCCCTGTTCTCATCCCTGTGGTTGTCCCTGTTCTCATCCCTGTGGTTGTCCCTGTTCTCATCCCTGTGGTTGTCCCTGTTCTCATCCCTGTGGTTGTCCCTGTTCTCATCCCTGTGGTTGTCCCTGTTCTCATCCCTGTGGTTGTCCCTGTTCTCATCCCTGTGGTTGTCCCTGTTCTCATCCCTGTGGTTGTCCCTGTTCTCATCCCTGTGGTTGTCCCTGTTCTCATCCCTGTGGTTGTCCCTGTTCTCATCCCTGTGGTTGTCCCTGTTCTCATCCCTGTGGTTGTCCCTGTTCTCATCCCTGTGGTTGTCCCTGTTCTCATCCCTGTGGTTGTCCCTGTTCTCATCCCTGTGGTTGTCCCTGTTCTCATCCCTGTGGTTGTCCCTGTTCTCATCCCTGTGGTTGTTCCTGTTCTCATCCCTGTGGTTGTTCCTGTTCTCATCCCTGTGGTTGTTCCTGTTCTCATCCCTGTGGTTGTCCCTGTTCTCATCCTTGTGGTTGTCCCTGTTCTCATCCCTGTGGTTGTCCCTGTTCTCATCCCTTTTTTGGTTGTCCACAGGGATGAGAACTTATACAGTTAATACATTAGTCAAATCTCCCTTTCCTTTTTGGCCGCAAATTATGGATTTTGCAGGAAAACAAAAAAAGATTCAAAGGCCAAAACTGTTTTTTCCAATAAAGTTTCGATAAATGATATTTTTTAGATTGAAATGATATCTGTGGCTTGCATTTTTGTGTGGGACAATTTTCTAAAATCTACAGACTGTCTTGCTCAAGTTGTCTATCAAAGCGAGAGATAACAATAAATTGTAACCAATAATGTTGGATAAAAAATAATTTGATACATTAAAATGCCCTTCATTTCCTTTGTGAAAATATTTCAGGTCTATATATATGTATTCTCATTTATTCCTTCATAATTACGCTTTTACGTACTGATACACTAGAACTGATTTACTTACACCCCACTTTACCTGGACTGGCAGTATAACAACTCTACAGGGTTTTAGTGTATTTTTACACAGGAGGACAGCACCGACTACACTCAGGACGTCGTTCTGTGGACCGCAGACGCTGTAACAGCCTGTCCACATCTGCGGAGCCGTACGACCTCAGAGCGTGACTGGGATGGGCAGGACTTTAGAATCTCCGAGGGCCTTGTGAGCGGCAACTTAACCGTTCATGTCGACCGAACACCGACTTCGTCAGTGAAGTGTAGACGGAAAACTCATCAACCAATCAACCAACCAACCATTAGCGTATTTCAAAATCAGTTTTATGAGCCTTCAGTATGACATAAAAATAGTAACAAGATCAGTTGTGGCTTTCAACCTTGAAGAGAGATGGTCAAGTTTTGGTAGGAAGCTGAGGCTATTGAAAAGCAAATACATTTGAGCTGGACACAATAGATCGAGCCAGCCTTAAGGATGGACAGACACCAATCCCATAAACCCCTGTAATAACTTGTGGTTATCGCTTATTTGATGGTAAAACACTGTTCATTAGATAAACAGTCATTAGGTCTGCTGAAATCTCAAATAGGCATCCTTACCTTGAAGGCAACGCCACCTTTGACATTCGCTCAGCCATCTGATTTCTGGTAAAATGCTCTACCATAATAGCGATCACATACACACAGAGAAACTGAGATGGTAGGATCTCCTTGTAAGAACATCATGTACAATGACTTCAACCGACTCAAATCTGTCTTTGATGCCTAAGGAGCCGAATCCTGTTTACATTAACAAAACTAATGGACCAACTGTGAACAAAACCTTTGGGAGAATGATAAAACGGATGAAAGAAAAAATTGAACATTTCAAAACCAACATGACACTCTATGAGGTCCTATAGAACAATTTGCAAGACCAGCATTGAAAACAACTTTCATTTTTTTTTGCCGATGTAATTAAAATGTTGGATGTTGTAACTATTTGCACCGGTCCCTTGCAACATGACGCGGCTGGAATTCCCACCACTTCTGTGGGCGGTAGTTAGAATGGTGAGAAACTGATAAATTGTTGCGTGGTGCAAACAGATTTTTTGTAATTGCTCTGTAATAAGCCAAGATGTGAGAATCTCCATCTCAAAAGATACACTCGGCGTCAAGGAATATTCTACTCAATACAAAGGAAAAGTTGTATATTTTGTGAAATACATGCACTTTCTTACTAGACAAAATATAAACTAAGAAATTTGTTTTCGTAAACAAATACATATGACTCTCCCTATTGGCCAATATAGGCATATTGTTTTGCACTTAACTGAACTTTTCTTCAAAAGATAATCAAGGTCAAGGTGAACTAAATACAGTACGTTGCACCCTATCTGTTGGTGATGAAGGTATACATAAAATTTCATCAAAACGGTATAAAATTTATAATCCTTATGAAATTTCACTGAACATTGTGCACTTATTAATATTGACCTTTAACCTAAAGGTGAAGGTCACTGTGACCTTAAAATAACAGCACACTGCACTTCTTCAGCGAATAATGCAGTAAAATCGGTAAGGTATGAAGTTATCTTCAATGATAAAAAACTTTCAATGCACAGGCGAGATTTCAATGAAAAAATTGTACTTATTTGACCTAGAGGTAAAGATCACAGTGACCTAATTAAAGTGCAGTGCATACCAGTACTTTCTGTTGATGTAGGCATGTTTCATGTTTCATGTTTCATCGTAATATCTTTAACCAGTTAACTAGTTTGGATTGGACAAGGATGTTACAAGATGAGCCAGTAGAACCTGTAAAAGGTAATACAATATGTAGCTGTACATGGTAATACAATATGCAGCTGTACAAGGTAATACAATATGTAGCTGTACAAGGAAATACAATATGTAGCTGCACGTACAAGGTAATACAATATGTAGCTGTACAAGGTAATACAATATGTAGCTGTACAAGGTAATACAATATGTAGCTGTACAAGGTAATACAATATGAAGCTGTACAAGGTAATACAATATGTATAGCTGTGTCATTCAATAATCCAATCGAGTATCTGCAAGGGTCCTTCACCGTCTGCTCTTATATAACTGCACTTAGAACACATCGTAGCTAATGTTATTTTAGAAACTTACTATCAAATCATTATAGTTGAATTTATTTCAAATTTGTGTATTTAATAAAACACTAATATAACAATTAACCCTTGTTATTCCACACTTCAAGTTAACTGGTAAAAAGTTATAATTGGGCGATTAAATCCAGGAACAGAACTGTTGTTAATATCATTCGTACTTGATAACTTCTTGTTTCGCTGCAATGTACAATTATAAGCATGTTTTGTACACAACAGTAAAAGATCTGATATACATAATTACAAAATTTTAATCAAAACGGCATATGTCTCCATTTGTTATCGTCTGCTGATACGAAATGCTCCATAATGATAATGGTTGTTAAAGAAACGATGTACAGAAGTGCAGGCAGACTGGTTAATGCTGGCCCAGATTCAGGCACACAGTCAGTGAACCTGGTTCTTCGGTAATCCATCATTCTGCTGTCAGCGTAAAGAAGGTAATTATATGTGATAGTTTTCCTGAATAAACACTGCACTTCAGCCTTAAAGAGAAGCCACTTGGTCAATTCTGATGCGATTTCTGGCAAGATATAGTGTGTACTGTTTTATCTTATCACGTAAGTATTTTAGCTTCTGACATACGCTGCAAAGATAATGACCTATAAGATGTTTCTGATATGTTAGAATATCAATGAAAAGTACAAAATCAATATTTTGTGAACAGCAGACACCAGTCAATTGTCACACGGGTGTTTATAGATCTGACAAGAGTTTACAAATCTTCATCTCTTCTTCACCAATTATCTTATTCTTGCCTCCAAACTGATACCAGTTCAGAAATAATGAAGAACAACTCGGGGTACATGCAAACTTTTCAGGACAACATCCAAGACCCTTCCAAGCACTTTTCGAGCACTTTTCGAGCACTTTCAAGCAGTTTTTTTTGTATTTAAAGTTTTCAGAAGAAAAGTGGCTGAGATATTCTGCAGTCAGAGATACTGTTACACAGCATGGAATAGAAATAAATCATGTACAATCATGTTTTGAAATTATAATCCATTATTTTTGTATAATAAATTTATGTCAGCACAAAAGTTTGAAGCAGCCATTAAACAGTTTCAACGTATATATCAGATTAGACGTTCATGTTACGAGTGTTTATAGAATTTCTTTCCTGTAATATTTTTCTCTGGATAAACATATTCCCCTGCAGTCTTTAAGCACAGCTGACCTCAATGAACCATGATACTAAGTTTTTATTAACAATTAAGCCTAAATTCTCAGGTTCAGAATCATTGATGGACTTTAAAAGAGTGATATACTGTAATAGGATAGTGGAATTCCAACTCGGACCTCAGAAACTCTACACTGACACCACAACTGAGTCACAATCTGTTGACAACTGATTGTCCAAGTCCAGCATTGCTTCAATATTACGGTACTCTTTTGGAACCAAAAAGTATAACTGCATGATATCACTGTTCAGACAAGAGGAAACATTTGAAACAGCTTTATTTATGAGATTACAGATCAAAACTTGTATTTAAGAGAACTGTTTCAACACTATGATAACCAAACATTTTCTCACCAATGCCAATTCATTTTTAGACTCTGCAGATCTCAAGACAATTTGTCTCTCTTGCTTAGAGTCAATCCAGCGCAAAGGGGCTGAAATTGTGTAGCCGACAGGCGCTGTATTCACAATTTCGCAATTTCACAGCTGGGTGGTAGATAATTCATTATCACAATACCAAATTGTTCGTCAACTACTTTCTGCAGCTTAATTCCGAAGTCTGACATGTTAATATTTCAGAGAGGTTATGATACAATATGATAACATTATGTTTCAATTCCAACTTCTACCTTTGCAAATCTATTTAGTGACATAACATACTTGTAACAATCTTATTAAACTAAAGTGGCAAACTGACTCTGGTGATATACCTCTGTTAGTGAAATGATAGCATATCTTATCAAACTGATGAGCCGATGTAATGCCTTTCAGGATGTTTGTATTTTATGCTTTATTTTTTGGGATCAAACATCAGCTGCTTCCAGCATTTGGAAAAAGGTTTTCCAGGAAATTGCCCAGTTGGTGCTGTTGTGTCTTGCAGTGTCCATTATTAATGCATAATAGTCTTGGCTTTTCCACCTCTCCTGCCTGCACAAACTGTAGACGCAATTACTGATGTCTGCTGTGAGGATTACCAAGGTGTTTTCTACAAGGCCGGACAAAAAATACTCGCACTTGGCCTTCAGGACGCCATAGATTTTAGGCTAACGACAATGACATGTATATACTACACTATTTACTGAGGATAAACATGTCTACAAAGTTTCAAAGGAAAAAGATTATTGTCACTAAAAAGTTATTTTAATGATCCAGACTAAAATTGGGCAGCAAAATGTCAACTGACCTTTGATCTAAACCGCACGACTTAAACCTTGAGCTGATCGAAGGTCATGAAAGTGGTATACAAAACACTGTCTAGTAATTATTACGTTATAGATTTAGAAATATACAAGTAATTAAGGACT